TATGTTTTATGAATTTCAGTTTGCTTTAGATTTACTTTACAAAAGAAAGCAGAATTTATCAAGGTTTCTTTATTTTCTACAAAGTTCAGATTCCTGACAATTGAAAGAAGTAATTAAAGTTGATAAACCCTCGTTTCTCTTTCAATCACTAAATAATTGCATCCAATGTAATTACATTTTTACTATAACACCATGATCTGACAATTGAATAAAAAAAGAAAATCACCCTACCAGACTTTTAAACACAAATAGGACAAATCCTACACAATCTGTGCATTCATTTCACTGGTACGCATTACCCTCACCTTGGGATCTATTCTCTGATTCTGCTCACGGATTAGAAAAGATTTATGGTTCCAATGCTCTTTACCCTGAGGACTGTGCCTTCATCATTTCTGTTTCCCAGATAGGAAATCTGACACCCAGTGAGGGTAAGTAAACTCTCAAAGGTCAGTTAATTTATGAGGGGCAGAGCCAGGATCCACTCTGAAGTCTACAATTTTTACTACTCTACCATGGGGCTGTTAGTGACTTCAGGAGTGGTTAGTGCAGCATGGATGACTGTATTGCTTCTCAATAATCTGTTTTAGGTTTTCAATTTGATAGGCATTTGTGCTATATTTCTAAAGAAAACAACCTATTGGTTCTTCCAACTGCAACATGGCTGACTTATAAAGTCAACTGTTAGGAGAGGCTTGGGAGATCAGGTACTCAATAGTCTTTCGTGTGGCTCCTTATTGTGAGTGACCAGAGTCCCTGGACAGGATCCAGGAATATGTGAGTCATCTGGAATCAAATACAAAATAGCATGCATGTGTGTATTGTCTTTTCTGAAGACAACATTTTTTTAAAATTTCAATCAAGTTCTTGACCCACAAAAAAATCAGCCAATAAGCACAGGCTCAACTTCGGTTACTGTGATAAGTGACCACTTTAAGATAAAAATCATACCATGGCTTTCTTTATCTAAGAGTTGACTTTAATTTCTTCCTTCTTTTCCCTCCTTTCTTTCCCTTCACATTGAAATTATAAAAATTTAGAAATGACTCTTTGATTTAAACACTACTACTAAAATCTTATTTGAGGCAGCCTCCTTGCTAAATTATAAATGAACAGATGATTATAGAGGCAATGTTTTCAGACTAAGAGTTCAAGATGAGTGCGACAGAATGAAAGGAAATTCATTAATACTGGTGGAGCTCTTGGCTTATTCTCAGCTTATTATTTTTAAAAGATTTTATTTATTTATTTAACAGGTAGAGTTATAGACAGAAAGAGAGACAGAAAGATCTTCCTTCCGTTGGTTCACTCCCCAAATGGCTCCAACGGCCGGAGCTACGCCGATCCGAAGCCAGGAGCCAGGTGTTTCTTCCTGGTCTCCCATGTGGATGCAGGGACCCAAGCACTTGGGTCATCTTCTACTGGTATCCCAGGCCACAGCAGAGAGCTGGACTGGAAGAGGAGCAACCAGGACTAGAACTGGTGCCCATATGGGATGCTGGCGCTGCAGATGGAGGATTAACCTAGTGCACCATGGCACAGGCCCTTCTCAGCTTATTTTAAACTTATGTAAACACAAATCTCCTCTACTGTTACCTGCCCAGTTCCTGCTTTTCACTCAGAAGAATAAATAAACAGAGAGTACAGAACAATGATTCCTGTATGAATTAGATTTTTACCAATAGGATCACACACTAAGCCAGCTTGAATAGTAACTTTTTAAATGTTTCCCTTAAGGTGCATATGATTGCAAGGTTTTTTTTTTTCCTAGAATCACATTGGGGAGTAACATTCTGCCTAGTACCCTAGCAAGCAACCTGAGAGGACAGGGAATGGATGGTTTCCAGTGATATTTGGAGCCCTCAGCACTGTTACTAACTATTCAAGAATGTGTAGTACAAAGGCCTCCAAAAAATTACACAGAGGATGAAACATGAATGCCATTGTTTCTGTTGTCTTGTTGTTTTAAAATATTTATTTATTTATTTTAAAGGCTGAGTTCCAAAGAAAGAGAGAGGGAGAGGGAGAGAGAGAACTTCCATCTAAGGTTCACTGCCTACATAGCCACACAATGACCAGGGCTGGGCCAGGCCCAAACCAGGAGCCAGGAGCTTCTCCTAAGTCTCTCATGAAACTAGATCAGAAGCAGAACAGTAGGGACTCGAACCAGCGCCCATGTGGTATGCTGGTGCTGCAGGCATCAGCCTAACCCACAATTCCGGCCCCTGAATGCCATTGTTTAACAATTTCATCCAAGGATTATTTACTTATTTGAGTTCTATGTATTGATTAGAGGATGGACACTTGTTTGCCAGAAAACAAACAAATAAATAAATAAAATAAAAATAAATAGTTATAGTTTATTGCCTTTTAAGGTTGTTTCCTATCTACTACAAACTTGTTCTAACATTCTGGTATTAAACTGCCTGTAAATACTCAGCTCTTCAAATTCTGTTTGAATAAGCTTTCTTGTCTTTCTGGATACCTCATTAATTCACAAAAGAAAAGAAGTGAGCTATAATAATTACTTTGGATAAAATCTTGATTCTATAGGTTCATTGTATGTTTGTATGAGAGTTGTGCTTTTATCTTTTTGCAAACTGAATGTTAACATTACCAGAAATCAGCACTTTAAGGTCACTGAGTTGCTAGTTGGCATTAGTGACACTTGGTGAATGTGCAATCCCAGATCAACAGACTTAGTTTTTATGGTTACATGGCATGGTTCCTTCATTAATATTGACAAGCTGAAGAAAATAATTACACTCGATGGACAAACCAGATAGCCACCATCTTGGAAATCACTTGCAGGTATTTCAATGGCAAAGATATAGAAGGTGCACGGCGAACATGATGGCAAAGCAAGGAGGAATTTAGGATACTAGAGTTCTGCCTTCTTCCACAGACTCGCCCACTACCAACAGCCCACTGGGTCTGCTGCCCAAATCACATTTTCTGCTCTGATCTTGTGTCATAAGCCAGGTCTTTTAAAAGAAAGATTCTCGAGAACAAACCACATTTTCAAATCTGAGACAAGGAAACATCTAGAATGGAAATGCTTCAAGATGTTCAGAGACCAGAAATCATAGTCTGTGGTGAACCAGAATTATCGCATTGTCCGGAAGACTCTAATCAAGCAGCAGAATTTAGATGTAGTCCCTTGTTATTATGATTAGGGCTCTTAAAGATGTTTTTGACTAATTTTGAGTGAAACACATTACTTGATAAAGAAATTATTCGGGGGTTGGCATTGTGGTGTAACGGGTTAAGCCATTTCCCACCATGCAACATCCCATATGGGAGCTGGTTTGAGTTCCAGCTGCTCCACTCTGATCGAGTTCTCTGCTAATGGCCTGGGAAAGCAGGAGAAAATGGTCCAAGTCTTTGCATCCTTGCACCCACGTGGGAGACCAGATGAAGCTCCTGACTCCTGGCTTTGGCTTGGCCCAGCCAATTGGGGAGTGAACCAGCGGACAGAAGACCTCTCTGTCTATCTTGACCTGTCTCTGTAATTCTGCCTTTCTTTCTTTTCTTTTTTATTTTTCTTTTTTTTGACAGGCAGAGTGGACAGTGAGAGAGAGAGAGACAGAGAGAAAGGTCTTCCTTTTCCATTGGTTCACCCCCCAATGGCCACTGCGTCCAGCGTACCGCGCTGATCCGAAGCCAGGAGCCAGGTGCTTCTCCTGGTCTCCCATGGGGGTGCAGGGCCCAAAGACCTGGGCCATCCTCCACTGCACTCCCTGGCCACAGCAGAGAGCTGGACTGGAAGAGGGGCAACCAGGACAGAATCCAGCACCCCAACCAGGACTAGAACCTGGTGTGCCGGCGCAGCAGGTAGAGGATTTGCCTATTGAGCTGCGGCACTGGCCATCTGTAATTCTGCCTTTCAAAAACTAAAATGATTTTTTTAAAAAAGGAACTATTCTGTGTATATGTGTTTTGGATGATTTACTCCTGTTATCTAATTATTTTTAATAATTGGAAAGATTAGCAGTTGAAGTTTGAAAGGTGGTAGAAGGCAAGAGTTTACCTGAAAAAATTTTAAAGTAGCAAGATCCTCAGGCAAGAAGGAATATTTCTAAAAGTTTTATACAAGCCTGTGTGGTTTAATCATTGAACTAAGTGTATAAAAATTGATTTTCCATATCTGAAATGAAAACCCAGAGGATTAGGAGATAGTTCTTATAAACATGGACTGTGTCATTACCCTCAATTTGCATTCTTGGCTGAATGGCTGTTTATTTCCTCTCTCTCTCTTCCCCCCCCCCCCCCCCCCATTTTTTTTTTTTTTTTTTTTTTGACAAGCGAAGTGGATAGTGAGAGAGAGAGACAGAGAGAAAGGTCTTCCTTTTTCCATTGGTTCACCCTCCAATGGCTGCCGCGGCCGGCGCGCTGCGACCGGCACACCGCGCTGATCCCATGGCAGGAGCCAGGTGCTTCTCTTGGTCTCCCATGGGGTGCAGGGCCCAAGCACTTGGGCTATCCTCCACTGCACTCCCTGGCCACAGCAGAGAGCTGGCCTGGAAGAGGGGCAAGCGGGACAGAATCCGGCGTCCCGACCGGGAGTAGAACCTGGGGTGCCGGTGCCGCAGGCAGAGAATTAGCCTATTGAGCCGCAGCGCCGGCCTCCTCTCAGTTTTTGTGATGTGCCAGGACACCATACTGATGTTTTATACCTGAGCCAAACCTCTTGTGGCTATGCCCAGGAGGACTGTGTGCACAGAGAAGCCAGACTGGTCAGTGAGATTACACGTGCTGTCTGTCCCTTTAGAGCCTCCTTAAGTTTATTTGCGGTTGGAAATAGTGCACTGATTTAATAGAGCCGCTAGAGGGCACTATGCATTCAGTTCAGGTAGAAAATACTTCCTCATGTTGCTCAATTTTTACTTAAGGTTGAGACAGAAGTGCAGAGAACGTGTGCTGTTCATATAAATAACTACATCTGTTTTGCTTTACTTATCTTAAAACTTCTAATAAAAATGATTTAATTATCTTTTTTAAAAAACATGGAATGCTTCACAAATCTGCATTTCATCCTTACACAGAAGTCATAATAATCTCTGCCTTGTTCTAGTTTTACTATAGATAAAGCCAAAGTGGGCACAATTATTTCCTCTTCAATAGCTTCTTTTAAGTTGTGATCCTTGTTGTGCACTTATGTAAAAAATTCAAACAGCTTTCCTTCTGTATGCTATGTAGGAGCTTTTCTGAAGCAGGTATTTTTAAATGTATAGAATTACAATGAAAAATAACTGCTTGTGATTCAATTCAGCACAGTTTGAACTACCTATAACAAAACTAACGTAAGGTATCTGACAAAAAATATTTTGCACTCTATCAGTGAGGTCAAAGTTTCAGGACTATGCCATCAAAGATGAGAACATTAAGTTGTAAGTAAGTTGATTTTTTTTTTTTTTTTGACAGGCAGAGTGGACAGTGAGAGAGAGAGACAGAGAGAAAGGACTTCCTTTTCCATTGGTTTACCCCCCAATGGCCACTTCGGCCAGTGCAATGCAGCTGGCGCACCATGCTGATCCGAAGCCAGGAGCCAGGTGCTTTTCCTGGTCTCCTATGGGGTGCAGGGCCCAAGCACTTGGGCCATCCTCCACTGCACTCCCAGGCCACAGCAGAGAGCTGGACAAGAAGAGGAGTTACCAGGACTAGAACCCGGTGTGCTGGCGCCGCAGGCAGATGATTAGCCTATAGAGACGCGGTGCCAGCCTTGATTTTTTTTTTTTAAAGATTTATTTATTTTTTTGAAAGGCAGAGTTACACAGAGAGAAAAGGAGAGAGAGAGAGAGAGAGAGAAAGGGGAAGAGAGAGAGAGGTCTTCCATTTGCTGGTTCACTTCCCAGTTGGCAGCAATGGCCAGAGCTATGCCAATCCAAAGCCAGGAACCAGGAGCTTCTTCCAGGTCTCCCATGTGGGTGCAGGGGCCCAAGGGCTTGGGCCATCTTCTATTGCTTTCCCAGGCCATAGCAGAGAGCTGGATCAGAAGTGGAGCAGCTGGGACTTGAACTGGTGCCCATATGGCACTGCAAGCAATGGCTTTACCTGGTAGGCCATAGTGTTGGCCCCGTAAGTTGATTTTATGAAAGCAATAATCCATTAAATTCTTTTCTTTCATCATGTTTATATGGATGTGAAATTCCTGGAGTTTATTTTTGTGTCCAAAATTAGGAAGTACTCAAAGAACTGATCAAATAAGGAGCACATATAAAATCAAAATTAATAATGTTAAGAATGTCTTGTAATTCATTACTTAAAATAGCAATCATCAATCTATACTGACAAGAAGACTTGAAAATAAATTTTAAAAGGGCTAAGAAAAAGCTTCTCTTTTTTATTTTTCTTTTCTTTTCTTTTTTTTTTTTTTTTTTTTTTTTTTTTTTTTTTTTGACAGGTAGAGTTACAGACAGTCAGAGAGACAGCACTGGCCCCAGAAAAATCTTTTCTTTACATTGGAATGCCTGTCAACAAATGTAGGTCAAATTATTAGAAAATCTTTATCTGGGGTCAGTGTTGCAGTGCCATAGGTTAAGCTACTGCCTGCACCACTGGTATCCCATATCAGTGCTCTGGCTCAATCCCAGCTCCTCTACTTCCAACCCATCTCCCTGCTAATGCACCTGGGAAAGCAGCGGAAGATGGCCAAAATACATCCATGCGAGACCAGGATAGGGTTCCAGGTTCCTGGCTTCACCTGGCCCAGATTTGGATGTTGTCAGCCATTTGAGAAGGTATCTCTCTCTGTATGCCCCCCCCCACACCTCTCTCTCTCTTTCTGTCACTCTGTCTTTCAAATAAATAAAATGAGTCCTTTAAGAAAGTCACTATTTGACAACTATCATAGTGGTAATTCAAATAAGAAATATCTTGGGGAGGCATTGTGGTACATCTGGTTAAACCATCACTTACAATACTACATCCCATATCAGAATGCTGGTTCGAGTACTGGGCACTCTGTTTCCAACCCAGCTCCCTGCTGATGTACCTGGGAAGGCAGTGGCAGATGGCCCAAATCCTTAGTCCCCTGCCATCTCTGTGAGAGACAGGGATGGAGTTTATGGCTCCTGGCTTTGGCCTGGCTCAGACCTGGCTTTTGTGATCGTTAGGAGAGTGAACCAGAATATAGAAGATAGTTTTCTGTTTCTCCCTCTCCCTCTCTCACTCTGGCTTTCAAAAAAAAAAAAAAATGAATGAATATTTACAAATAGGAAATACCAATGATGCTAAAGCTTGTGACTACAATTTTGATGAGGAATGGGATAGTTTTATAATTTCATAAAATTTTCCCCAACCCTTCAAATACTTAGGGGATACAAAAGGAAACAGTAAAGAAAAACTTTACATTGGAGAATCTTGGCAAACACTGTTTTAATCAACTGATCAAAGTTAAAATCTCCTGTACAGAGAAGAATCCAAACTGTAATCATATGAGAGGTGGCATTTAAAAGACTCAGCCTCACATGTGTGGTATTCCTGCCAAAAATACAAAACCTGAATCCAAGTATCAAGAAACAGTAACCAAAAGCAAGTAGAGAGACATCCAATGGAATACTGGGCGTCTCATTTTCTAAAGCTACCAGATAATGAAAGCCAAGCAAAGACTAAGGAATTGTGCCAGATTACTGGAGATTCAAATCCATTGAAGCTAAGTGTAACATATGATCTTGGATTGGATCTTTTTTTTCTGTGAAGGACAGTAACAGGCTAGTTGGAAGAACTTAAAGGGAGCTGGAGGATTATATGATAGCAAGGTACCAATGTTCCTTTTCTAATTTTGATGGTTGTCTTACAGTAGTATTGGATAATGTCCCTGAATGTAGGAAAGACACATCAAACTATCCAGTGGTAATTTACTTCCAAATGGAGAGAAAAAAATATCTCTGTATACTTCTCAGGAATCTCAGGAATTTTTTCTAGGCTTGAAATTATTTGAAGGCAAAAGTACTGAAAATATTAAACTGAAGTAAGTTCTGATTTGATACGTAAATTAGGAATCATTTTATAAAATAAAATTACCATCTCATATGCATCAAGAACTAAGATATATGTTGATAAATCTTTCTTGTGATTGATAAAATTAGGGCAAACTGAAGCAGTTAGGATGACTTAGGGTTCTGTTTTGTTTTCCTAAAAGGAAGTAGAGGAAGAGCACTTATGTGAAAAAAATTACTTTGCTGGCCTGTTGTAGTCCAAGGACACCAGAAAGAGAAATTTCCCATGTTAATATTTACAGTCTGAATTATAAAAATTACACAACAAACAAACAAAACCCCCAAACCTTGAATGTCTTCCCAGTTTCTCTGTCTGCTGGCTGGCATTTCACCTTCCTGTGCACATCTCACAATAAACAGATAGGCTCTGATGAAATCCTTGGATGACAGACGCCTGACTTCAGAAATGTGGCCAGCACTCACATACAGGCACAGCAGAAAAATAATGCCAAAAGGCTTTTTTCTCATTTAATTAAGAAAATAGTCTTTAAAAAACTATTTTGTGTAAGACCCATTGATTGTCAACACCAACCACTTGAGTCTTCATGATTTGAATGAGATTCCAGAGGAAATAAATTTGTATAAAAGAGAGCTTTTATTTTTTAACTAAATACTTGAAAAAATTATCCCACAATGTAGTGACTTTTATACAGTTTAAAATGGATATTTATCACAGCATTATTTTATGTAAACACTATAAAGCCAGTGAATTATGGACCTTGTCTATGTCCTTGTGAGCATAGAGAACAGATCATTTTTTCCTATCTGAAATGGCAAAACTAAATCATTGAATTCAAATTGGAATTATCAAGGGTTATGAGTACACAAAGCAAAAATAACTAAAGTAATAGCTACTGATCTTCATTACCAGATCAACAGCTGTTGATCTTCATTTGTCTTTTTTATAGGATTGACATAAAAGCACCTCTGGTACTTGTAGAAATGACACTAATCAAAGGCTAGAAGAAAATTCCCCCAAAGCTGGGCAAATTAGAAAACACAGCAGAAACGCTTGCCTCACACATGTAGGCCCTTCAAAATATTGGTAGGAAAGGGAATTACAAAACAAGTTTATTTTGGTGCAAAACTTATTGAGAGGCTGGTGCTGTGAAGTAACAGGTAGATCCGCTGCCTGCAGTGCCAGCATCCTATATGGGTGCCAGTTTGAGTTCTGGCTGCTCCACTTTTGATCCAGCTCCCTGCTATGGCCTGGGGAGGAAATGGAAGATGACCCAAATCCTTGGCCCTTCACCCATGTGGGAGACCAGGAAGAAACTCCTGGTTCCTGGCTTTTGATCAGGCCATAGCCTGGAACTCTATCCCAGTTTTCCATGTGAGCTGCAGGAGCCCAAGGACATGAGCCATCATCTGCTGCCTCCCAGGATGCATCACCAGGAAGCTGGATACAAGGTGGGATATCCAGGGACCCATCTCAGCACTCCAATACAGGATATGGGTGCCCTAAGCAGTGGCTTCACCTGCTGTGCCATAGTGCCTGCCCAAGATTTTTATAGTGATTTCTATAGTATAATTTCAATATAAAAAACTTAATAAAGTCATGGTAGATCTTCTATTTTTTTCTATGTGTGTATGCATGTGTGTTTTGAAAACAGAGAGGAGATAAGATGAAAGAACTGGTTGCACAGATTGATCAATATAAGCTATATACATGAGTAGGAATATCACCCCACACACTATGAAAATGTCAAGTGAAAAAGTTGATATTAAGGATATAAGACACATTTTTAAATTTTTTCTGATTAATGCATAATCAGAACATTAAAAGGTTTTATGAAGCTTTTTTTTTTTTTTAAAGTGTCCCAGTTCCACTCCTGATTCCAGCTGTCTGCTAATGTGCTCCCTGAAAGATAGCTGGTGATGATGGGTCTAGTACTTGGGTCCCTGCCACTCATGTGGAGACCCAAATTGAGTTTTGGGATCCTGGCTGCAGTGTTGGCCTAGCCCCAATTGTTGCCAGCACTAGCACAGTCAGGGCTGCACCAGCACTTGGGGAATGAACCAACTGATGTTTGTATGTCTCTCTGCCTTCCAAGATAGATAGATGATAGATAGATAGATAGATGATAGATAGATAGATAGATAG